GGGGGTCGGGTAGCCCCGCGGCGGGGGTCCGGGGGTGAAACCCGTACCCTGGCTTGGGCCCTGGGGATCCTCGCGTGACAACCCTGACTGTCACCTTGCAGTATTGGACTTGGCTCCGTTGAAGAATCTTGACGCATGGAGCGAGCAAAGGTTTCACGAGCTCCTCCAAATGATGACGGTGTTGTGCGGAGCGCATTGGGCGCTAATCATATTCAACGCATTGAAAGTCGATGAAACGGTGTTGAGGAACTTCTTCAGGTGGGACGGTGTGAGAATTCTTCCAGGGCGCTGGCGTCGTTATAGCGAAGCATCATCATCCTGCGCCCAAGTTGGGAACCTTCCGTTGAGAGGGCGCGACTCCATGACCATTGTGCTGCACGATACAGACAACGACTTGAAAAAGGTCACGGTCGCAAAGCCTCGTGGGAACACTCTCTTCGACACGCATTACGTGGAGGAGTTATTTGTACGATGTACAAAAGAGGCAATCAGCGTGCTAGGCGATAGCAAACCTATGAACGGGATATGGGAGAGGGAACCTGCAAAGATAAAAGACTTGTGCACCTGGTTTTCGAAGGAAGGGGAAGGTGTTCTGTTACTGGGCAACGTTCAGGCAGGAACAACGTGCGACTTGTTGCGCTGAGGACGCCATGTCGTCGCATGTGATGGTTCCTCAAACCTGATGGAGTAGTCCACTTTGTTTATCGATCACCACTTCACAATCCGGATAACAGGTGTCACTTTGAACGGTCGAAACCTGAACATCGTGCAGACCGAGACATGTTCCTGAAGCTCGGCAAGAAGAGGGACTCTCTGTGGAGCTATCTTTTCTGCAATGCACCCGCAACACCAACAGATGCAGATTATCTTCACCGTAAGGTGATAGCGATCCAGCATCTACAAGGATATCACAACGCCAAACGCGGTGCAATTGAGATATTTCTAGGCCGATGTGAACACCTGTGGTTTGAAAGGAAGCGAGACAAAATTGATGCCAAGGTTTACTGCGAGGTAATGGATGTTGGGGAGCAGTTTGACATTATGGACAGTGAGGAGGAGACAGAGGATGAGAAGATTGACGTGCCATTGCCGGATGCACATCAAAATGCAGTGAGAGACGAAACGCCTCCGCTGTCCGCTATGGGTGGTGAATAAGCGATGGAGGAAGATGTTGGCGGCACTATCGCGAGCACCAAGCCCGATAATGTGATGCGTGGAACAACGCCGAAAACAGGTGGTGCAATGGAAGGCAGCACATCCAAGTGCGGCATGAAGGAAGCTACCTCAGGATTCGTTTCGCTGGTGAGGAGAGTTTGCAATGATATAGAAGGAGCGACGGACGACGAGACTCAAAATGTTGCACGTGCAGACAAGGAAACAGTGAACGACCAAGATGGGATGGACATAGAGGATGATACCCTCTTTTACATCCCGGACGACGTCCCCAAACAACTTGCACGGGGTGATAATATATCATATGACATGAAGGAGATGAAAGGAGGACCTCACTCTAGAAACAAAGTACAAAGAGTCATATGAACACGACTGGGGGCATCACATCATATGGCATCCAGGTCTTTTCGAGCCTTGTGTGATTGATGGTAGATGGCACATGGCTATCCGAATGGGTGGGAAATGGGTGTTCAGGGAAAGAGTCCTCAGGAGCAGGTTTTATGAAATCGCAAAGGACAACTTGTCTACCCGCGTGAAGCAGGCGAACAGAGAGGCGCCAGACCACAAAATATCAGACAAAGTGAACTCGTTATTCGAATTCCTGCGTGAAAATCACCTTCTCGAGTATTGCACTGCGTTCTACGACAAGAAATCGAGTCCATCGTATGGAGTTGTCATATGGTCTGTGGACTACTGTGCAACGGACTGTATGTACGAGAGCGACATACTTGTGGGATGCAGTCAAGGCCTTGAGGGACACGCATGTGCAAGGAAGAAGATCGATTCAGCAGCAGCAGGAGTTGGTGGCGAGAGTGTGGCAGACAAGGAAGGACACCTCAGGATGCAAAACGCAATGGGAGATGAGTTCAGTGAGCGGCCATCGAGCACACCGCAACCAACACTTAGACCATCAGAAGGTATCAGTGCAGTGGGAGCCAGAAGTGAGACAACACCAACAACAGGCGGGGAAGTTGTTGGCGATGACGGTAAGGACGAAAAGATTGAAGAGGACCAGCGACAAAAAGCATCAGACGAAGAAGAGCCAAAATTTCAGGCACATGAGGTATTGAAGGCGATGCCAGGGAATGTCGATTCACATTCCAAGCAGTCACAAGGAACACACGATACGACTGTCATCACTGTACAGGCGCAAGGCACCGACGAAGACACAAGGGAACAAAGTGCACATGAGAAAGATGGGGAGGAAGGACCAGTGCTTATGGAATGCATTGGTCCAGGAACGCAAATAGTTTCGGAGTCAACCATGGGAGAAAGAAGAGCTGACGTGGAGGGTGTCGGTGGGGCAGAGCATGAAAAAGTTCCAAGAACGACAAACACAGGGAGAGGGAGGAGGAAAATGAGAATGAAGAGGAGGCGAACAAGAGTCAGAGTGTGATCAACTTGGTGGACCGGTCAGGTGAGAACGAAGAAACATCTGACAAGGAAGAAGCGAAAGAGTCGGGAGAGGAGTCTCAAGAAAGAGAGCGTGATTTGAGCGAAGTGAGTGAGGGAATATGCGGTAGAAAAAGAAAAGTAGGCAAGGAAAAAGAAGAATGCAGAATGCGACGTTCAAAAAGAGCCAGGGAGAAGAAAACACAGTACGACGTATAGTGTTGGTGTGTACGTGGATGTCAGCCTGCATTCACACTTGCCTGGGATGTGTGTGTGTGTGTGTGTGTGTGTGTGTGTGTGCGTGTGTGTGTGTGTGTGTGTGTGTGTGTGTGTGTGTGTGTGTGTGTGTGTGTGTGTGTG